CTGAGAAACTGGGATCATTTAAAATCTGGAAATGATAAAGATTAAACGTTAAATTTAAATATTAATGCAAAATTAAAGTTAAGAAAAACTTATTAGGTTATTGTCTAAAAGATGGAATGTCAAATTAGTTAAGATATGTATAGACTGAAGATTATTAATGAATATTAGAAAGATATTTTTTGTTTGATTGATAGAATAAGAACTGTATTGATCTGAATATGATAGTAGATCTTATGGGGGAAAGAGAGGGAATTTGTTGTTGTAATACTTTGAGATTTGTACTGATGATATTTAAATGTAATGGAATTACGATGCTCAACCGCCATGCTACTTTTCAAATATGTAAATGCAATATTGGAAAATTAATAAAAAACTTTGATATATGAAATAGAAGATTACGTACGGGATTGCCCCATGTGTGACACCACAAAGCCTCATATGGGGAGGCCACTTGGGTTGTTGCAACGAATGGCGGACCCGACCGAGCCATGGGAGGATATAGCCATGGACTTCATCATGGAGCTGCCAGAGAGCTGTGGATGTACAGTTATATGGACAGTAATTGACCTTTTTTCTAGGCAGGCCCATTTCATTCCATGCAAGGGGTTTCTGTCTGCTTGAAAGCTGGCCAAACTGTTCATCACACAGGTATACTGCCTGCACAGGGTGCCCCGACGGATCATATCAGACCGGGGAGTGCAGTTCACTGCTCACTTCTGGCGGGAGTTCGTCCGCTCCATCGGATCATCCCAAGGACTCAGCTCAGCTTTTCATCCCAGGACCAACGGGGCAGCTGAATGGGTCAACGCGATGGTGGAACATCTCCTACCAACAGACGGACTGGGTTGACCTGTTACCATTTGCTAAAGTGGCATATAATAACACGATCCACAGCAGCACTGGATTCACCCCCTTCTGGGTGGTACATGGTGTGGACTTTATCCTGATTTCCGAGTGCCCGCAGGTGGACCCCTCCCCGTCACCCCCAGGACTGGATAAATCATATACAGGGGGTCTGGGACAGCATAAAAAGAGTCCTACTAAAAGCAGAGAAAGCCTCAAAGGCGCAGGCCAATAAGAAACAGGCGCCACAAAAGCCCTTTCGGGTGGGGCTGTCAACCAAGTATCTGTGCCTGAAAATACCTTGAAAAAAATTAGGGCCAAAATTCATAGGCTCATTCCAGGTTACGCAGGTCATTAACCCAGCCATTGTACGGCTGCAGCTACCCCGTCTTCTAGGAAAGGTGCACCCAGTCTTCCATTGCAGCTTACTGAAGCCAGTGGAAGGGTCCTCTTTTAGGTCCATGAAATATATACCGGGTCGTGTTGCAGGGGACCATTATGAGATCCAAGAGGTGTTAGACTCCTTTGTCCGACAGGGACATTTGCATATCTGGTATGGTGGAAGAGGTACCCTGTGATGGATGCATCCTGGGTGGGGGAAGCAGGCATGAAAGTCCCCCGGTTGTTGCAGCGTTTCACCAACAGTGTCCCCATAAGCCAGGGGGGGTTGGCTGTATCATCTATCACAGCCCATGATTAATCACATGGTTTTCCCTGCCTTCCAGGTAGAGCCCTGGTAGAGGGGGCCGCCTGTCAAGTCTCTGTGGGCTTGACACTGATGGGAGGAGGGAGGGGGCAAGGACAGCACCTGGGGGCATCCAGATACAGAGGAAGAGGCCAACGACAAGACCAATAGCAATAGCCCTTCCCTCTCCCATTACCTGGACTATTGAAGGGCAGAGTGTGGTGGCATGGCCATCAGCTCTGCAGTCGTCCTGCCGAACAACTGACCGACTCCACGTTCAGCCCGCCGAACTGCTGTTTGGCGCAGGGAAGCACTAGGATGCCGGAATCCTGCAGCACAGCCCAATGAGCAGCTGGTCTGTGCAGGGACACTACATGGGGCCGGAAGCCCGCAGTGTGTCCTGCCCGGCTGTTCTTATCACCTCACATGCCGGATGCTGGTTAGGTGGGTGGGGGTGGGGCCTGGTTGGGAAACGCATATGTAAGGCGCTGGGAGGCAATTGCTCTTAGCGCTAACTTTGTTTGTTGTTTCTGTGACTAAACACATGCCAGAACGTTCTGTGATTAAAACCAGCCACCTGTGAACTCACCGACATGTGTCTTGCTGGAGCCAGGGATGTGGTAAGGACTTCTGACAATATATTTCCTTAGTCCACGGGTCGGCAAACCATGGCTCCAGAGCTCATGTGGCTCTTTAAGCCACCTCCTGCGGCTCCCAGCCATGTGCCGTGCCCCCCCAAAAAGTGGGACTAAAAATGTTGAACAAATCAATTCAAACTTCTCATGAAAAAAAAAACTCAGAAAGTTTGAATTGATTGGTTCAAGGGACGCCGTCCATCTGTCAAACCCCGTGGGCTCGACATAGACAGGAGGGGAGAAAGACAGCTCTGGAAGGAAGCAGCCCCGCAGCCAGAAGCCGGTGGTCCGAGCGGAGTGGCACGGAAAACCTACCGGACACATGGGATGCTCCAGCATTGCAGGTGAGCAAGGCTTGCTGTCCGCGGCCCAGTTCCACACCCCGACAACCAGCTGGAGCAGCTTTTACTGTTCCAACCTGGGGACATCAGTGGCATAGAAGGTGGTTTGGCAGCATTGCCACGGGCGGGGCGTCCTTGCAAACTCGGGCCCGGGCATTTCCCGCGGCTCAGGACTGGAGATGCCAGTGGCGCATGGCTTGGACTGTCAGTGTTGCCGTGGGACCACCCCCTGTGGTGCCAGCCAAAGCGGCGTGCTCCTGGCGACCCTCGAACCGGGCTGGCTTCCTCCCGTGAATCTCTCCCCCAGCGCGACCTATCAAAGGAAGCAGGAATGGTTGCAGCCAGGACACGCTTACCTGCCAGAGTACATTTGCCTGACCCGGGCAGGCCGCGGAGCAAATAGAGGCTTTTGCTGAAGCGGCAAGCAGGGGGCCTGCCTTGGGCATGGCAGGGCTGTTGGAGGCTGAAGGCCCTGAAGGCGCAGACCAGGCTATCTTCCATAGCGGCGGGACGGCAACTGTGGAAGCAACAGCCTGCTCATGTCCGGCGACAGCGACAGCGGAGCCATCTGGTGCTATTTACACAGCCGTTCATCCACATGACTGAAATAGACAACGGCCCCAATTCTGCTCTGGGGAAACGAGAGGGGAGAGGGGCAGCGCTGCCTATCTCAGTCACGCAGAAGAACAGTCGTGTAAACAGCACCAGATGTTTCCGTCGCCGCCGAAGATGAGCAGGCTGTTGCTTCCGCGGTTCCTGTCCATTGACTTCCACGGGGACACTTGGCAATGGCCGATTGAAACCACTTCAAGCATCGAGCTGCGGGATGGCTTTGAGTGGCAGAGAGAGACACAGAGACGCAATGCGTCTCCACAGGAGATGCAGCAAGGGCAGGATATAAGGAGGATTCAGCCTATGTCTCTGCACATGGACAGACTTAAACAGAGACTTCCAAACCTGACATGCATACAAATGTGGATGTCTGGAAAAAAAGGGGGGAAAGTGGGTGTGACTATTTAAAGTTCCCCACTTTTCCTTTCCTTCTTCCTCTTTGGCAGTGTTGACTTCTGCTCCTCCAATCCTGGTTGCTCATGGTCCCTGCCTGCCACGGCGATTTCTGAGAGCAGGGAGCAGCTGCCTACTGGGCAAGCCCCGAAAGCTTTCTTCCTCTTCCTGATCTTGCCTTTCTTGCTCGCCCTCTGATAGAGGCATCTGCTGGGTTTCCTCAACTTTCCCCCACCCCATTTTATTTAATCTCACCACCGCCTCCCTCTTTCACAAAGTTGACATTCCAGGGACTCGGACCTCGCTTCACTCCTGCAGTCATTTGGCGAAGCTTGAAGGAGAAGCCGCCTGCTCCCACCTCCTGCGGAGCAGAACTGCTGCTTCCTCGCCCTCCCAGTGAAAGAACCCCAGAGAAGTGGAAGACATCCTTTCTCCCTCTTTCCACTTCTCATCCTCTCTTTTCTGAGTATTCCTCCCAGAGCAAGCCAGAAGCCTCAACTCCAGCCTCCCGCAGCAGGCTGAGATAGGCGAGCCTGCAGCTCCTTCTCTCCATCGGCCTCCTCCTCCACTCCCTGGGAACCTTCACACCAAAAGACGGAAAGAAGAAAGTCCCAGGGAGGGAGAGCGTGGGGTGGGGGGAGAGCAGTCTTTTCCGAGGGGAAGAGAAGCCAAGAAGGGGCTGGACAGGGGCAGAGCCAGTGCATGTCTTGCCTTAGGCTCCACTCTTTAATCAAGCTCCCTGTTCCGTGCGCATGTGCGCGTGCACATGCACACACGCATTATGCGGCTCCCAGGTTTTTTTTGTGAAGAAACCAGGTCCAAGTGGCTCTTTCAGTGTTTCAGCTTGCCGACCCCTGCCTTAGTCTAAGGGTGCTTTCTTTTTAAGTTTTGAGGACTTTGTTCCATTTGTTTATAAAATGTAGTTTAATATTTTAAATTCTGAAGTATTTGTTTACTCCCACAAACAAAACATTTTGCTTCTTAATATGCTGTATAGTGCACTGAATATGTAAAAGTATTGAGTCACAACATTTATATCCAAGTTTGTTTAGTCCTTTCAAGATGCATTGGTGCTTTCAAGATGAGTCGAGAGATCAATGTCTGGGGCACCAAAATAGAAAGATGGGAAAGCCCTACCTAACCGTGTCATCCACATTATTGGAGAATTTCATGATCCATAGTAAAATCTGTAGTGGAGCTGCACTGAATAGGTGACTTAGAATTTGGATGATGCCCACATTCCTTTTCACACACTGAAAAAGTATGCACATTCTCTTTTGCCTTTCCTCATTCTCCCTGAAGTTTCAGCCCTTTTGTATGATGATGTCATATTCTAAAAAGTATAATTTGCATACATGCAACTAACTTCACTAGTTTCCAAGAGATGATTAAGATAGTTCTACAGATCTGTTATCTACCATATGTATTCAGATTGGTTTTATCTAGTTCCCCCCCCTTCCCCCCCACACGTATGCACACAAGTCAGACCTATTAAATAGAAATCTCACTTTATTTTCCACAAGTGTTTCCAAAAATATTTATATAAGTGGGCTGGTTAATCTAAGTTCATGCACTTTGTCAGAACAGATGGATTTTTTCAGGCTTATTAACTGACCTTTCTCATAGTGACTTGCATAACGTATGTCCGCTTCACAGGATCTCACTTGTAGCAACTCTGCAAAAGTCTTAAAAATCACATTCTGGTGGATCACTGCAAAACTCTTGAGGCTATTAAATTGTCTTTTTTCAGTATGGAAAATTTCCCCAGCACGCAGACGTATTGACACAGAGACTATGCTCTGGGGACCTGGGAATCTTGCTTCTGTTTCCTTGTTCTTTTACTCCCTCTTCAATTTTGTCACTTCAGAGAATACCACAAGCCCATACAGTCCAGTATTAAATCCAGAAATCAGAAAATGCCACATATAAGGAATCTCATTTTGTACTATACATTGTGTGTCTTTGCTTTAAGGATTTTGATTTCATCTCTGAAAAATAATTATTACAGCCCAAAGAATATTCATTTATGTCAAGGATGTGCAGCCCTAAGATCAAATGAAGCCCTCATTACTTTCAATTGCTCTTTGAGAGCAAGCAGCTCAGAGCTCTGCCAAAATCTACCTGGTAACTTGCTGAAGAGAAAAAAAGGTTGTCAGAGGGGAACAAAAAGAATGTCAGAAAAAAAAGTGAATTTTCAAATATTACCAAGCAAGGTTCCAAAACCATGTTCTTTCACCCTTTCCTTGGATCATGACTCTGCATTAAGAAATTGTGTTCCTAACAGGATTTATTGATACTTTTGCCCACATATTTCTATGTGCTTATCTCCCTATATCTTTGTCTGTGTCAAAGACTGCATTCAGTTCAATGTATATATTTCCAGAGTGGCATAGGAGTTATTTCATTTGCAAGTGACTGTGAAAAGGTGAAAGCACATTGTCCAATTCATTCTACAAGCAAAAGATTGTTTGGTAACAATAATCCAAAACCTTGGAATCTTCAATAAAAAAATAAATGTTGGTCCAGGCCTTAAGATGCAGTTTTGAAAGAAGAATTCTTTTGACTTAAATACAGTTGCTTCAAAATTTTGCCTCATAAGCAAAATTACAAAGGTAAAGAAAATGCAGGTAAAGTGACAGATAGCAAGGGACCAAATCAGTAATTCAATAAAATAAAGCATGATTTTAGTACCTTCAGTAACAGGGATCATTTTTATGCAATTTTCATAGATTCTTTAAAAAAAAACTTTAAAAAATGGGTCCAATCAAAGACAATTTCAGTGTTTTGGACTTGAATTGGAAAACTACATAGGAAAAAGGATTTTCTCTCTTGTCCAAATAATGGTTTGCCCTCTGCAAGTATGTTAACTAAGAACAAAGCAAAATCTAAGAGTTTTACAATTGATCTGCCCTGTCACATCTTGTTACCACTTAGGTTTTAGGCAAGTATTGAGAGACAAGTTAGACCACTCACAAACCAACTTAGAAAACTCCATTTGAAGATTCTGCAGAATAATGCAGCAAATCATTGTGGATTGTATATTAATTGGGTAATCATCTTCAGACAGAAGTGCAACACTGGCCCATATGCAATAATAATGCTTGATTATTTTTTTTACTGATGCAAAGTATATAAATATTTCAGTCTTGCACTAAATTACATTTTGGTTTTATGGGCTTAGATTGGACCTCAAGCAGCTTGGCTCCAAAGAGCATTCCTTGTGGCAAAAAAATTCCATCTGTAATGCACAGTTTGGCCCAATCCTCTGTAATGAAGACTGGCTTGGCAGATAGTCTATCAAAAAAAAAAAAAAAAACAAGAAGAAAGAAAGAAAGAAAAATGATGCAGATAATCTTGTTAAAAGGAGATAGCTCTGGACATTTTGAAGAATTCTAGGCTCCATTCCTTACTTGCCATTATGTTATGCTATTCCTTTGACGCTCACCCCTTCTCCCTTTGTCTTTCTCCTCATTGTTTTCTCTCTTTGAGCATTTCTAATTCTATATGAATGAAGCCACTCAAGGATAATTTAATTTAATCATAAAAATTAATAGTCTAGGAAAAGAATTATTTTACAAAACACATGCTTACCATAACAATCTGTTACCATAAAAATCTGAATTTGTAGTCACAATGATCAGTTTGCTGCTGTGATCTCCGATGTATTTCATATGGTTCACCATGCTGTAAACCTGGAAAACAAATTAATAACTGAAAAAGCAAGTGTTTGTGCGTGTGTACGTATGTATTTGTGATGTGTATGTATATAGAAATATGTAGGTATGTAATTCATGCTGTATGTGTAATTACATAATAATGCAGCTCTCCTCATTTGTCTTTCTGATCTCTCTCTGCAGAAACTGATATTCTTAAACAGCATAAATCAGACCAGTGGCAGCACAAGGAATAATTTTCAGTTCCTAAACATGGGGCAAGATTCCAAAGTAAGTTACCAGGTATGTGTGTTATGATAATAAGAACATGTACAAAAAGGATATAAAATATAACAACAGTCTGATAACAATTAAACTGTATATGTATTCCTTGCTTTTTCTCTTTCCCACTTTGAAATGGCATTATCCACACTTCTTAAAAATAAAAATATTTTTTATTATTGTGACATATTTTTGGCAGCAATTTTGGCCACTCACGTCTTGTGACATTACAAACAGCATCAAATGTTTCATTCATAGCTCAGAGATTTTAATGTCTTATATCTGGCATGTTATTCCTAGAGAAAAACAGAAAGAGAATTATATTAGTCTATTATATTAGTCATAGACCAGTCTTAAAATAAAACACATTAAAAATAAAATAACAACACAACAGAATAAGGATATTGCATTTGGTAGTTGCATTCATGGCCAACCCAGGTATGATTAATTGTACAGGTACTATAACAAAATTTGGCTAGGTTCAAGGAAATGAAATCATGTCATTCCTATAGTTTTCCCAATACCTTTAGTTTGAGCTTTTTCAACCTTTCTTACCTTAAAAACATGACAGCTTTGTTTAATGTGTAGCATAATATTATTGAGTTCTTTTGTATAATATAGCATATTCTTTTTTCTTCATTCAGTGCTCACCACAAATACCCATGTTTGCCTTGGCTGATCATAGCTTCCAGTATCCTTCATTCTACATTACAGTATCAGAAATATTGATGACCAGGCTGAAACATTAAGGAATTAATCAAAAATGAATTTTGAGAATCCAGAATACCATATTCAAGAGATCTTTGATAGATCATGTCTTAGATTTTCTTCTGACAGACATTTCATTACCAGACAAGGTCACACCATCAGTGTTCTGGCATGGGAAGCAAGTTTTGTTGGTGTTTTTTATATAGCCACTTGTACTACCAGTCTTATGTGGGTTTGGACAGACTATGTTGATTGATGGCTATTGTTCTAATCAGGTGATGGTTTCTGCTTACCTAGGATTTGGTTAATGGATGTACAATAAGTGAATGTGTGTTCTGGAGTGCCTCTTTCTTTGACCTGTTCTTGTTCCTTTGGAATGGTTCATAAATGGGGCTTATTTCTTTGTATCTATTGATTTAGTTCTGTCAGATGACCAATCTTCTAGAAATTCTCTTGTAATTTAAGACCTAACTTGATCTAAAATGTTTACTGTTTCTTAGCTGAAATTGTGGTTGAATCATAGACTCTATTTGAGCAAACAGATGGGGTAATGGCTAGAACCTAAAGAAATATTACCTACTAACTCAAAGTGTCTATGGAGATTCTCAGTGATCCAAGTCATAGTTGTCCCAAAGATACTTTTTCACAAGGCAACTGGACTTTCTTGCTTTTCTCTGAAGATGTTTCACTTCTCATCCAAGAAGATTTTTCAGCTCTGAAGAAGCTTCTTGGATAAAAAGTGAAACATCTTCAAAGAAAAACAAGTTGTCTCATGAAAAAGCATCTTTGGGACTTCTAACTCAAATTATAACCCATCCAATTTTTCAAAAGTAGAGAAATATATAAGTCTTTCCATGCATGCATGCACATACTATGCATCTCTTTTGTTTGTCTGTCATCTAATCTATTCATCCATGTATAATAAATAAATTCAAAATGTAAATTATTGTTTAGTCATTCCTTTGCTCCTGACTCTGCACCCTTATGGGAATAATTTTGCTAGGGCTATCTTTCAGTAATTGTTTCTTTGAAAACTTATGAGTTCCTTCTGTCATTAGTCATCATATCTACCCATTTTGCCTTCTGTCAGCTTCTTCAATTATTTTCACCTATGAGTTTCCTTTTGCATTATGTGTACAAAATATTTAACTTTAACAGTGAGCAATACAGTTTTACATCAGTTAATATTGAAGTATTTGTTCTTCTTTTGATCAAAAATATTCTTAATGATGTTCTTTTGCATCCAATTTTCATTCATTTTTGGTAGTTATAGTTATATGTTAAAAATATAGTCTTGATTGTTTGTTCCTTTGTTTTCCAAGAACTTTCATATTTGTTCCAAATAGCAGACATCTCATTATTTAATGGATACAGTGACCATCCCTGTGATTTTTTGAGCCTAGGAAGATGGTCTGTTATTGCCTTTCTCATTGGGTTCTTATTGCCTCTTGACATTACCTGCTTTGTTTTGTTTGTATTGAAAGCAGACAGGTATTTGCCCTGTTTCATCTTCAACAAAAGGTTTACTTCCCTTCTCTTATTAAAGTAGTATAACTGAAGTTATGTATGTTTTTCTCAGCATTTTTAATACTAATTTCTATTTCTTAGAGTCTATCATTTTGCATGACAGTATTTTATGAATAATTTCAATCAATAAGGTGACTGAATAAGGTGACCAAGCATTTCTTTGAATCATTTCGTTGTTTATATTTCAAACATTAGTTCCTATACATCCTACAAATTTGTAATAGCCAGATGAGATGATACAGTGATAACAGGGACCTTGGAGGTCTTCTAGTCCAACCCCCTGCTCAGGCAGGAAAGCCTATACCATTTCAGACAAATGTTTGTCCATTCTCTTCTTAAAAACTTCCAGTGCTGGAACATTCACAGCTTCTGGAGGCAAATTGTTCCACTGATTAATTGTTCTAACTATCAGGAAATTTCTCCTTACTTCTAGGTTGCTTCTCTCTTTGAGAAGTGCACCCATCTTTTAAGATCTATATACAATTATGGCCAAACATTTTAGTATATTCAATAAAGCAAAAATAGACCTCATTTTTGGAACTCCCTTGCATTTTCCATTATCCAATGGATGTGAGTAATATGATCTCTGGTGCTCTGTTCTTCTGAATCCAATATATACATCTGGAATTTTTTGTGATTGTTCTAAATACTTTCAAACTTTAGATTTCAAAATATTGAGCATTATCTTACTAGCATGTAAGAGAAAGGCAATTGTTGGTAATACTGCCCATTCGGGATATTGGACTATAAATTGATCTCTTTCAGTTGCTTGGCTATTGTTCTATTTTGCATCCCTGCTTGCAACCACAAATGGCACTTCAACTGCATCATCTTGAATGACTTTAAACAGTTCGGCTGATATTTTGTCAACTTTTGCAGCCTCTTTATTAGCAATAATTTCTTCACTTTTGCCATTTCATATTACTTTCCAAGAGGTCTGGCTCTAATTCAATAAGTAGATCATTGTTTGTGTCACTGATTTTGGGATCATTTAAAAATAGTTTTTCTGCCATCTCATCTTTATAAATTATTTTTCCATTAGCTTTTTGCCTTGTTTATTATTGTGTCCATAACTAAAGAATATTTTGCCTTGATGTCTGCAATTTTCATAAAGAAAATTTTTGTCCTTCCCTTCAATTGTTATCCTCGATTTCTGTCCACTATTTATTTAGATTACAAATTTTGTCACTGTTGCTCTTGCTCAATGTTTAACCAGTACCAATTTTTCTTTGTTTGCATTGTTTTGAGTTTTTTTTTAATATTTCTTTGGCTACTTTCAATATATCTACAGGGATATATTTTAGTTTCTTTTGCCTTTTGCATTCAGGATATTTTTATTCAAACACTTTTTATCAATTCTGATATGGTAAATTGATTCTTATTTTCACCAATAATCAGACTGAATATTGCTGAACATCTCCAAATGCTCTATTACTTCCAATATTGACATTTAAATTTCCTGTAATTAGAATAAAGTCTGGTTTTAGTCATATTCAGCATTTTCTTTAGGTCTCCAATTTATGGTTGAAGCATAAATGTGGACTTCCACTGAAATTCTATCACTATGAGCCCAATTAAAGTAATTATTATTACTTTTAAAGACCTACATGGGTTGGCACGAAGAAAGTTGCAGGACTATCAACTAGAATAAATCCATCTAACCAGTGATGGGATTCAAATATGTGAACAACCAGTTCTCTGGGTGGATGCTGCTTCCAGAAGGAATGGATTGGGTGCAGGATTCATCTTAAAACTATCCTGGTTGTTAATGTCTATTTGCTTTTCATGACAGAATATTGACTGGGTTGCTGTTTACTTCTACAATGGATTGTATTTAGTTTGATACCTCATCTATGACCTGCTTTTAATGACTAGCCCTTCTAAATGTGAATTCCTGAGAAGCTGATAAAGCAGCATTTGACCTGCTTCAGTTTGCCTACCGACCAAATCACTCTACGGAGGATGCTATTTCTTCTGTTCTCCATCTGAGCCTGAAGCACATGAAATACTCATGTGCATTTGCTGTTCGTTGACTTCAGTTCGGCGTTTAACACAATCATTCCCTAGCATCTAGTAGACAAACTGGGCCTTTTAGGCTTAAACACTCCTTTGTGCAACTGGATTCTTGATTTTCTTACCAACAGGCCCCAATATGTGCGAGTTGGAACAAATACCTCTAATACCATTTTCTTGAGCACAGGTTCTCCTCAGGGCTGCGTCTTAAGTCCTCTGCTGTTCACCCTGTTGACCCATGACTGTTGTGCTAGGTTTGCCACCAACCATATTGTGAAGTTCGCAGATGATACAACAGTAGTGGGCCTTATTCAGGATGACAAGGTGGAAGCTTACCGCAAGGAGATTGAGGGGTTGGTGAACTGGTGTAAGGAAAACAGCCTAGTTTTAAATACCAGAAAAACCAAAGAGATCATTGTTGATTTCAGAAAAGGCAGGAACAGTCACACTTCTCTGTGCATTAATAATTCACCTGTGGAGATTGTCAAATTCTTGGGTGTGCAGCTAACGAGTAGGCTGACTTGGTGGCTCAACAGCAAGAAACTGGTGAAGCAGGCACAGTAGTGCCTGCATTTTCTGCATTGCATGAGAAAAGCACATCTTCCTTCCTCTGTCCTGACCACTTTCTACAGGGGGACAATCGAGAGCATCCTGTCATACAACATCATGGTTTGGTTTGGAGGCATCACTGCTTCAGACAGGAAAGGGGTGCAGAGTGGTGAGAATGGCCAAAAAGATCATTGGCAGTTCCCTCTCTCCCATCCAGGACATAGCACAGAAGCGTTGTTTGAGCAGGGTCCACAAGATTATCTGGGACACTACACATCCACTTCACGACCTGTTTTCCTTGTTACCTTCTGGGAGGAGGCTTCGTGGTATCCGTAGCAGAACATCCAGATTCAGCCATAGTTTCATCCCATACAGCATTAACCTTGTGAACTCTCAAGCTTCCTCCTTCTGTTATATATTCAAGATGGACAGTATTTAATATTTATTTGCTACGTATATGTAGGGATGTGGGTCTGTACATATGTTGTTCATAGTATGTTTAGGTGAGTGTCATGTATGTGTTTCACTTTGACAGCGGGCAACTAAATTTCATTTTTGATGTGTGCCGTTGTGCCCACAGTAAAAAAAAATGACAATTTTTGGTTATCTTATCTTTATTACTGCAAGAAAGGGAATTGTAGATTATATATATTCAATCTACATATGTAAAATTGAAGTTTCTAGTTCACAGAAGGGGGTGTATCAGGTTGTCTTGGGCAAGTCAAAGGATATTACTGTATATTTCTTATGGCACATTGGGTAGATCGTCATGTTATCAGCAATAGTTTAGACTTAATATGAAACTTAGATTTTTCATAGCATTTTCCCACAAAAGAGTCCACTTTTTTCTCTTGGACCAATGGGAGTGTTGATTCATTGGTTGTGTCAGAAATAGATTGACCAGCTAGTGCTAGTCAGTCAAGCTGGACATTGTAGGCTGAGACATAGTAATTGGTCCCAAATCACCTAACTTTCATGCCTAAGGTGGGACTACAACTCATAGTCTCCTGGTTTCTAGCCTGATGTATTAACTACTAGACCAAACTGGCTCTGACCTAATATGGAACTATTTTCAAACTAATTCCATCCCTTAAGATGGTTCTTAATACTCAAACCCAACTACAAAACAAGATTGTACCTAATAATGGACTCAATAAAGGAAGTCTATGTTCTCAACTGGGAGTGTATGTAAGAGTGGAACTTCACAGTTCTTAATTCTGATTGTCTCAGAAAATGGCTGCACATGATTCATATTATCTGGGCTCAGGAGCTAAATGTTGTTAGTTTAATAGGAAAATGCCTAATAGAAAACTGTACACAATTGTTACATAAAAGCAAGAATAAATAATTGTAGACATCCTAAGTAGATAAAAATTGAAAGTTTAGAAATGTGTACTACAAATGAAAAGAAAAGATTTTTCAAGCTTTTGTAAAATTCAAGACACTTGAGACCAGGACTTCTTTCTTATATAATGGGAAGAAAAGCGGGAAATGTAAGAAATGTTTGTTATACTGAAGTATATCAGGGAAGCACTAGGAAACTGATCATCTGGAAATAATCAAGTAAATAT